CAAGTTTTCTACATAAAGTCTGAATTATATTGTCACTGGAACAATGTTTTAAAAAAGAAACAGGTAAATTTTTCTTCTTGTGTTTTTGAATAGAATTATCGTATTCATTGTCTCACTTTCAGGTTTTGAACATGTTATCAAGAATAATGGATTTTATGTGTTTGTGGTCTGAGAGATGAATTATTGAAATAAATACTACAAATGCATCAATTATCCTCCTGTACTGATGTATACATTCCTTTCATTGGTTGTACCCAAGGGGATAAAAAAGGAAAAGAAATGAAAGACACAGTTTGGAAACTGAGTTCCAAAGGTAAACAAAAAAAAAAAAAAAAAAAAGAAGTGAACAAAACAACAGGTGGAGAGGGCAACAGAGAATTTTGTTGTTTCAGGATTGAGGACATGTGTGCACAACAAAATGGGAATTAATCCCATCCATAGCTTTTTCAAAATTTAATGCGCAAATGAATCATGCAGGAATCTTGTCAAAAGATAGAATCTAATCAATAGATCCAGAGTGAAGGTCCAAGCAATGGTGTGTCAATCTCAGCGTGTGCTTATTTCCCTGGCCATTAATATTCTCACCCTGGTGGTCTCAAACTATCAACACGAGATCACTAAACACAGAACTGGGAAGAGACATACACAATCTGCTGGAAAAGCAGTACAAGCTGGCTCTAGCACATCCAATATTCAGCATTTCTATCTTAAGTAATGCAGATGCCTCTGGTCCATTTAAGTAGCAAAGGAGTAGACAGTAAAGTTTCTGGTGGGTAGGCTAGAATAAAGGAGAATAATAAAGGATAAATTACATAAAAGAATAAACAGAGACATTTACATGAGGATTTCTCAAGCTCCTCACAATTTACATTTTGGGCCTGTTGTGGGGGCTATCCTATACATTCTAGGATGTTGAGCAGCATTCCTGACTTTTACCCACTAGATGCCAGTAGCCTCTTCCCATAGCAATTACAATCAAAATCACCTCCAAACATTGTCAAACATCTCCTGGAGTGCAAAAATCTCACTCTACTACACATTACTAATCTAGGTTTATTTCTAAGAAATGATGGAATAAGAAGGGAAATATAATTCTTCCACTAAAATTAGAGATAATCAATGAGATGCTGGGGGCAAGGCATTTGGACAAAACATGAAACTACTTAGACATCAGGGAGCTCAGTCAAACATAGGAAAGAAAATTATGTTTAGAAAGAGTGCAAGGGAAAAGCCAAGCCTGGTGGTGTGTGCCTGTAATCCCAGCCACTCAGGAGGGGAGAATCACAAGTTCAAGGCCAACCAAACAACTAGAAGTGAGGACCTCAGCAATTCAGAGAAACCCTGTCTCACAATAAAAAAACAAAAAGGGCTGGGGATGTGGCTCAGTGGTTGAGTGCCCCTGGGTTCAATCCCCAGTGCCAAAAGAAAAAGAAAAGAAAGAGTGCAAGTGAAAGATTAGGAGTTTAAAACATTAGGAGGAAATCCACAGAGAAGACATTAAGAGATTAATGGGAAGGTTCTGGCCTAGGACAATGGCTCCATCAACTAAGAGACAGAACCAGAGATATCTCAGACTCTTGGACTCAATTGCCTAGGTTCGATCTGGCTGTACAATTTCTGAGCTGGGTCACCTTAGATATTTTAAAAAGTATAAGCCTTCTCATAGAATTTCCATAAATATTAGTTACAGTGGCAGACGTCTATAATCCTAGCAGCTCAGGAGGCTGAGGCAGGAGGATCGTTAGTTCAAAGCCAGCCTCAGCGAAATCGAGGCACTAAGCAACTCAATGTGACCCTGTCTCAAAATAAAAAACAAAATAGGGGGCTGGAGATGTGGCTCAATGGTTGAGTGCCCCTCGGTTCAATCCCTAGCACCACCAAAAAAATAAAAGAATTTCTATAAATATTGAGACAAAAACTTATTAAGTTCTAAGCACAGGGTCTAGCACACAATAAATCTCAATTACTGGTACTAACTATTACAGGTATCAGCATCATTATTTTTCTTGGAAGGCACTTGCTTCCACTTTGCTATTGGTTTAAATTTCTTTAATGAAACAAAACACATAGACAGACCTTGCCTGGATGGGCTGGAGCTGTAGCTCAGTGGTAGAGCACTTGCCTAGCATATGTGAGGCACTGGGTTCAACTCTCAGCACTGCACATAAATACATAAATAAATAAATGTCCATTGACATACTTTTAAAAAAAGAAAGAAAGAGTGCCTGGTAAGAGCCTATCTGTCAACATGTCTTATAAATACTGTTGTTACTGAGTGAACAATAACTGTAGCTGAGTATGAGAGTTGTGAAGCCAACCAATCATTGACCTACTGATGTTCCAAAAGTCACAATTAATGAGACAATGTAAAAGGAAATGAAAACTTAATAAATGAAGAGAAAGCATAAAAGGGCATTACATTCACTAAAATTAACACATTTTAAAAGGGCTTGAGCTATCCTAAAGAATGTGTAATGTCAGCCTGCTAGACACCCTACAACTCAAAAGGCTGAGGCAGGAAGATAGATTCAAGTTCAAGGCAAGCCTTGGCAACTTGGCAATACCCTATCTCAAAATAAAAAGGACTGATGATGTAGCCCAGTGGTGGAGTCCCCTGGGTTCAATCCCCAGTACCATCCCTGCCCCCCACAAAAAGTGTGATGTCAACCCTTAGTACTGCTGCCAAAGATGAGAGGTTTATAAGAACCAAACTGGGGGTAGGTTCAATCCTCAGGACCACATAAAAATAAATAAGATAAAGGTACTGTGTCCATTTACAACTAAAAAAAATTAAAAATAAATAAATAAAAAGGAACCAAACTGATTTCAAGTTGTTTACACTACAAGTTGTTTACACTGTAACAAGTAAACTTTCCTGCTGGTTTTTATGTACATCAACATAGGAATCTGTCAATAAGTAACCTTTTAGAAATAATCAGTCTATAATCTGGGGATTTAGTAATATCACAAAGTGGCCACTCTGAGATTTCAGTACACACTGAGAGTGTATTTCAAGAGAATTACATTTTTCTCTCACTAAAATTCTTGGGGGGCTATAAAGGGTTTTGTCTTCTTAACTGACCAATAAGGGAAGGATTGTAGGTTTTAAATAGCCTTTCAGTGTCAGGAGAGGATAGCTCTTCTCAACTATAACAATTAAATATCTTTTAACAGAAAGATAGAATGCCTCAGAATTCAAAATAAAAGAATCTATTTTAGAAGAAATTATTAAAATCTTCCAAGATGTAAAAAGGTAAAAGTTCCTTCAATCTAAACTGCTAACTTCAAGAATTCACATTAGGAAAAAAAAAGCGCACGGGGTGGCGCAGGGGTGTGGGGTGGGAGTGGGGGGAGACGACTTTATCAAGCATTCCAAGCTTATCATCTGTCAGTATTGGGCGAATCACTGGGAAGAACAGTAAATGTCATCACTCTGCAGGCCGCCAAAGATCAGGACACTGAAGCCAGTAGCCACCACAGTGCCAAGCCTTCCCAAAATAACTATGACTTATATACAAATGCTCATCAAACACCCCACATACAAACTCTCAAATGGTGAGTGCTGAAACAGGGGTCACTTCTCAAACTATGGCAAAGATAAATGAAGATGCCACTGATTAACAGGCACATGACATGGTCTTACATGACAGTCCCAACAAATTTAAATATGACTTGCTCTCCCTTAAAATAGTCTATTATCTAAATCAATATAACTGTCTAGAAACCAACATTTTCCCACCTGTTTTTAAGTCACTGTCCTAAAAAACAAATAGAACTGATCTCTGAAACCAAACAAGAGAAAAATCCTGGTTGAAATTCCAAAGGCACTGAGCATCTAACAATAATATTTCCATTAGAAATCAGCACATAAAACATCATTCACATACTTTCACTTTGGAGCCCAGGACCTGGAGATATCTTTTTCTACATAAGTTTTAAAAAGTGTGTGCATGTTATATACTCCAAGTTTTCTGAGTGCATCAGAAGAATAAAAAGGCACAAAAGGTTTCTCCTTCAGCACTTTATGACACCTCTGTATTACATTTTAGAAAACTTCTCACTTCCAAACTTATATTTGAATATTTGGCACAGATTTCCCATTCTGTCTTGAACCAAAAGTGTAGTACTGAGGGGTAAGGAGGTGGTTAAGTTATAACATTCCAAAGTAACATTAGAAGATATTCTTAAATTCCCCACTTCCCAAGTTTCCTCATAGCCTTTTGATTTTCTCTCAAATCACTGTTCTTTTACTCTCACCATCTTATCCCAGAAATCCTTGTACTGATTTCAAACTTAGATATGAAGTAGGTAGAGCAAAATCAGTATAACTTCTGTTCCATCACCCTATTCCTCCACCCTCCTTCAAAATCTAGAAATGAATGCAATAATTAGGGAGGCTGCTCTGTTTCAAAAAAAGAAGAGGAGAGGGAATTAAGAAAGAAAAGCGAGCTGGAAAGGAGGAAGGTAGTGTGTTAGGACCCCTAGTTTTCTACACTTCGTTGAACCTCGGCTTTAAGCGAGATAACTTCGGTCTTCTTTACACTCTTTAAAACAACACTGCCATAAAACTGACTTGAGTAAAAACAAAAACAACCCATGCCGCCCCTTTCAGAAGTTCTCACTCCTGATCAGGGCCCAGGAGCACTCTCCTTAGTGACCCTGATGCATACAACCCCACGTGCAGCCCTTTATATTAGGGTTTCCAAAATAACCTAATTACCTTCACCATCATCAGCTCGCTCACAGACCCAAAAAAGAAGTCCTCAACCCGAGACTCGCAAGGACCGCAACCTAGCCCAAAGGCCAGTCCCGACGCAGCCTGCGGACCCCTGCACGCCCGCGTGGCACACCCCGCGGCCCCCAGCCCCGCACCCTGCAGGCCTCGCCTGCTCCATCGGGCCTCCAGCGCGCCAGCGCCCGGCGTCGCTGGCGTCCCGTCCCACGCTCCCCTCTCGGGCCACGGGGCGGCCCCCAGGCTCCCACTCTCGTCGCTGGCCCACCGAGCCGTGGCCGTCTGCCGCTCCGGCCGCATCGTCCTGTTGCAGCTCCGCAGTCATGGTTGAGGCACCCCTCCGCGGGTCACCGGGATCCCACCGCCACCGCTGCCAGTCCAGGAGCACAGAAGGCCCCGCCCGCGCCCAGCACCCGGCGCCCAGCGGGGTCCAGGTCCCGCCCCCGCCCGCAGCGCGCGCCGGAGGCCCAACCCACACGCCCCGCCCCCGGCCTGCGCGCGCACCCAAGGCGCGCGGCCGAGGCCGGAGTCTCGGCGCGTTCTCACGCACGCCGGGTTCTGACCCCGCGCCGGCCACGTGATCCAGGCCCCGCCCTCATGATAACGGTCGGCAAACGCCTCAGGGGCTTAGGGTCTGCGGGGGGCGTGGGGGAGGAGTGGTTTGGGGCTTTTAGGACCCTGCGTTCCGAAGTCACGTTTTCTTCCCTCTGCGGGAAGAGACTGAGCTTTGGCTCCAGCCTCCCCTCAGAAGAGTTACTGTGGGCAGTTGCCCAGGAACACATTAAAGAGGCTCTCCCACAAGGCCTTGTAGCTATTTCCCAGTCCACTGTACAAAAAAATTGTTCACAGTCTTTAAGAGAAAGAGAGGTGGAGGCGGAGCGCGGTGCTTTGTCTAAAACCAACAGCCTCATTCACGGATGCCCAGCATGGTTTCCTTAACCCTGACCTGACCATGGTGAGCAAGAATTGTCAAGTGTCCCATTTCAGATCTTCAGGCATTCAAACTGAAATTTTGTTGCATTTTGAGCCAGGTATTTATCCTGTTGGTTCAAAAGCTCAGATGCCTTAGTTGAATTGTAGATTCAACAACTTGGGGGAGATCGCAACTATTAAACCATCTTCCACATTTTCAAATACAAAAGTCTGGTGGTTGCCACACTTACTGTCTCAACATCTGTGTGGAGGCTGGGTGTGAAAGAGCCACTGTTAACAGTGCTGCTTGTACCATTGCTTTAGGCTGGTCCTGAAGTGGCACTTAAAGTGCAAATTGTATTTGAATAGTAGTGAAGCCAGAATGAACACAAGCAGTATTGATAGGTAAATCGGGTCAGGTCAGATCAGATCAAGGAGGCAAATTCCGGCCTGGGAAGATGGAGCAAGATTAAAATGTTAATGCCTTCTGAGCCCTTCCTCCACCCTTATGCAGAAAACCTGCCCCAGGGGCAACCTGTTGCTAGGGAAACCTGTCCCAGGGATTGTCCCTCTCCACAGGGAGTTAACAAAAGTTGTTAATGCACAGTGGGCCCTCTTCCTGCTTGGCGCCTCCAGCCCATCTGCTTCTCACCTTTTGGCGGGGATTCCACCTGAGCATCTCCTAGGCCTAGTCTGTATACAGGAAGGAGAGAGAGAGGAAGGGGAAGAGACCCTGAGAACAAAAGAAGCCTAAAACAAAACAAAAAGCAGAACACCCTCTCTTTCTAGGATACCAGCTATGACCTCCTTCTCCCTCTTGGGAGAAGTCTATGTTACCTCCTTCTAAATAAACCCTGTTTTATATGCTTGCCTCCGTGCTTCTCTAGTGTTATACTTCAATATGTGAGGAAGCAGGACTCGTCAGATAACCAACCAGTGGAATTGGTAGCCTTTCCTGTGTTTCTGGCATTGTTGTCCCTGTGCTTATGATGTTCTACCTGTAAACCTACAATCTGCATATGAGCACAGCTTGTGGCTTAAGGAAATAGGTAACAGGTCAGCTATAGCCTCATTACTCCTAGGAATGTGGACTGGGACTGCTGGCTACTCCCATCACCAGGAGATACAGGGATCACCTGTCCCTAGCAAATAAATAGCAAATTAACATTGATATCCGTGATGCTACCTTAGAATCTTCCCTGATTGACAGTCATCCTATGGTCGTGCATAATGGTGGTAGAACTTTTCACGCATGGCTTTGTCCAATTCCTCCCACTCTGTGAGTAATAAAAACCATGTTCATGGCCTGGACCTGGCTATCACTGAAGAACAAGTAGATTTCTGAGTCCAGTTTATTTGGAGTATTATGTATTTCTACACTCTTTGGAACAACCCTTATTGATTTTTGTACTTGCATTTTTGGATTGCTTATTTAATGTGTGTATATTGTGTCAACAATTCCTAGGCATAACCAGGCGCAGTGGTGCAAGCCTGTAATCCCAGCAGTTTGGGAAGCAGAGGCAGGAAGATTGCAAGTTCAAAGCCAGTCTCAGCAAAAGTGAGGTGCTAAGCAACTCAGTGAGACCTTGTCTCTAAATAAAATACAAAATAGGGGTGGGGATGTGACTCCGTGGTTTAGTGCCTGTCATGACTAGTTATCTAGCAGCATTGCTGCCACCATCGTTCTCCTCTCTGGGGGCTTTCTTGTCTCCTGGAGGGTGGATTTTGGAAATTTCTTATTGCTTGCCCTCTGGTCTAGTTGTCCCTTCCCTGCAGGTTTCTGTTTCTCTGATTTCTCCACTGTGGGTTGGGTTGTGAACCCGAGCCTAGTGAGGTCCAGGGCTGAGTGGTGTTTTTTGGAAAACTTTCATTGTCATCTTGTATTCTATAGAACTTTTGTGGCCTATTATTAAATTGTGGCCTAGTATTAGTAAATGAGATTCTGTTCTGTAGCCTCCACTGTCCTTGAGGTTTCCTAGTTATCAGGAAGGTAGATTTAGGCATTTTTGATATTCTGAGTTTCTAATTGTAATAAAGGTTAATTGTTTACATCCCTGTCCCTGTAGCTCTCTAGCTTGTTTAAAATATTCTAGTCTCAATTATGAACTGATGGCCTGAAAGCACCGCTGTTAATGTGAGTCTAAGTTCTTGAGGAGTGCCCTTAATTATTATCCTTTTAATTGCCACAGTCATAGGGCATCTGAATGGGGTGGTGCAACTGCCATATGTCCTAAATATAATGCCTATTTTTCTTCAGAGTTGGATAGCTTCCTTTACTATCTTCAAATTGGACTGTGTTTCGAAAGACTATAAATCTACTTGCGAGAAGGCCATCCTCCAAGCGGCCCCCACCCACTCAAAAACCCAGCGGTTTCTATTAGGACCTGCAAATCATCCTGTATTACTGGATGTTCTAAAATGCCCATTAAATTCTGCATTTTTTCCCCAGATAATGTAATAGAATTGGCTCCCTTATTCCATAATTTTGCTAAAACATCTCCATCTTTACTTTCTCTCTCAAAATCTTGCCTATACTGTTGGATTTCACTCCAGTTGAGGGCGCGCACTTCAGTCGAGCTTTGTACTCTATTCCCCTGTGATAGAGAGTCTAGAGGGAGTTGACGTTCTCACTGGGAAATTATATCGGGCTTTGTCTTCAATATTCCGGAAAAACGGATTATTTCTGTTTCTGGCTGTAGCCTTTCTTAGTAGTCACTTCCCATTCAATCTATCTTCATCAACATCATTTATGACCTTACAACAGGATTTCAGGAATTTCCTTTTTCGCTGCTTGTACTAAAACGGGTTCCCGAGCAGTCATTGGTATGGTAATTGTAGTCCCCCTCTGATATTTTGGCATCTTTTCCTGTACTAATTTTTCCGCACATTCTTCAATCCGACTGGGATTTCAATTCCTTTTTCCCTTCGCTTCTTAAATTTTTTCAGTAAACCTGGTACCTTTAAATATTTAAACATTTTTTTTCTTTTTTTAGATTATCAAATCTAAAATAAATTTATTGATTGTCTTGTTCATATGCCAACGAATCCTTCCCCATTTATCTATGTTTTGTCTCTGCGTCTCTATTCTTCATTCTACTAAATTATATAGTCTTTTACACACCCATCTACTCATCACCCTCGGGGCATCCTCACTCACAGTCGGCTTTGGGCTCTTGATCTTAGCAGGTTCCCCTCAGCGATTGACTGCCCAGATGTGGCTTCAACCGGTTTTGCCACACTTAGCCCTCCCCCCTGGTTCGTTTGTCCCAGTCCAGCTCCTCCTACCGGATTTTAGGACTTTGCAGCCCTTGCCTTTGTAGGAATGTCCCACTTATGGAATTCCCCCAAAGGCTGGATTATAATCTATCGTCTGTTACTACCTGCCCAGCTCTTGTGATCTTTACAAAGACAAAATATTCTTAAAATCCTCCCAACTATGCCAACTGTCAGGATGGGTTACTACAGACTCAGCCTGGGGCGTAATTAGATACAATCAAATCTACTTTATTGATGCTCATCACACTTCAGACACACATCCTAATTCTAAATCCTGACTGAGTATATATACCCAAGGGTCCTAGGTGCTCACCTGTGGGTACTTTCAGAAAAGTCTTTTCTTTTGGGGGGGGAGGGGACTGGGGATTTAACTCAGGAGCGTTTGACCACTAAGCCACATCCCTAGCCCTATTTTGTATTTTTTTTAGAGTATAGGGTTTCACTGAGTTGCTTAGCACCTTTTGTTGAAGCTGTCTTTGAATTTGCCATCCTCCTGCCTCAGCCTCCCTCCGCTGGGATTACAGGCATGCGCCATAGAACCCAGCCCAGAAAAGTCTTTTTGTCAGTTAAAAAATAAATGGATTTCTGACCTTCCTGAAGTGTGTACTATAGTTAATGAACTTGGTTGAGAATTGAAATAACTTTCAGTAAAGTTAATGAGTTCATTTTAGAAGTATTTGATTTGGTAATCAAAATAGTCTCTTGTTTCTCTAAAACATGTATAGAAATGCTAAAAGCTCTTAAATCATGAATTATGATTTGTGAAAACCTTCAGTTTTGGTGATCTGATTTTCTTTTTATAAGACTGCAAAAATGGGGTTGGGATTGTGGCGCAGTGATAGAGTGCTCTCCTAACACAATGAGGCTCTGAGTTTGATCCTTAACACCACATAAAAATAAATAAATAAAATAAAGTCGTTGTGTCCATCTACAACTAAAGAAAAATATTAAAAAAAAAAAACTGCAAAAATGATGCTAGGTGTGGTGATGCAACCCTGTAAACCCAGAGAGAGACTCAGGAGACTGAGGCAAGAGGATTGCAAATTGAAAGCTAGCCTCAGCAACTTGGTGAGACTTGTCTAAAGAAAAAGGTGGGGGTGGGGGGGGCACTGGAGATTTAGCTCAGTAGTAAAGCACCCCTGGGTTCAGTCCCCATTCTATTTAAAAAAATAAATAAAAGGAAAGAAAAAAAAATAAAGCTTTTAGATAAAGAGTTAATACTAAAATGGAGAATCAGAAA